TCAACTGCTAGCTTATGGCGGTACTACATGACCTAGTAGATGCCCATACAAGAAGACGCACAATACACTCGAACCTTGGTTGCGAGGATCGCCCTTCGCAACCTGCACATGCATGCCTCACTAAAAATTCCATCCCAAAACTCTGTGGAAAAAGGGCATGAAGAAAAGAGCACGTGCACAACTCTGACCTATACATGTTCTAATTCTCGAGGCTTCTAGCTCCAAGTGCCTTGATTTTCCAGACATCTTCATCTTTGGGCTTTGGCTCATTCTACTGCTTCTGTAACAAGTTCATCGGCTTTGCTCGGTGCGCAGGTCATCATCTCTAGGACCTCCTTGGTGCCTAGGTCTTCGTCTCTGAGGCCTTCGCCTCCAATATCTTCTCGGTCCAGTAGGTCTTTGTGTACGAGGCCTTCTTGATGCGTAAGCCTTCGTCTCCAGTATCTTCTCGGCGCGCATGTCTTCGTCTTTGAGGCCTTCAAATCTTCGCTCACGAGTGGCAAAAGGCTTCACGCTCTGGAGTGCCTGGTCCTCTGGTGTGCTCCCCTAGCCCCTCTTGGTTAGCGCTCGTGACCGAGTCCTCTTCCATGCTTGGTGTGGTCGACATAGTCGTAGTAGTGAAACGCTTGTGCCTGAATCCTCACCATATTGCTTGGAGTAGTTGACATAGCCGTAGTAGTGGAATGCTCATGACCGAATGCTCAACCATGCTTGGTGTAGTTGACGTAGTCGTAGTAGTGGAAGTAGATGTCCGGACTGAAGTTTTCGGTGAGCCCTTGAGCTGAAGTGGTTGACGAATGTGTAGTAGGTCTCGACGTCGAAGGAGTTGACATAGCCCCTCGAGCTTGGCGATGGTGGCAGGTCGTCTTAGGCATTGACTCCGGAGGTGTCTCGGCGAAGGTTCTCGTGCCATTGGCTTTTCTAAATACATAGCTTTTGATATACACTTAAATATACACTATGTCGAGAGACATAGTTAAATCAATACATCTAGAAATGACAAAGCAACTTATATTTTGGAATGGAGGGAGTAGTATATACACACTTCACAAGCATCAGAATTTTGCTCTTTAGCTTTTTTATTGAATATTTTCACATTTAACCTTGAGAAAAACATTTGGAAAAGTAAATCCACTACCAAACATAAATGGCACCTAAAGTATATGTGAGTCCTCACGTCCTTCGACAACGAGCCGTCCTAGGGGGTCTTACGTGGCAGGAGACTCTAAGCCAATTACCATGGTGGCAAGCCCTGGTCCTCGGCGCTAAGGAGTGCTCTTTATATCCTTTTTATCCATCGGTTCGGTATTTGTACGGATCAAACTTTCTTAAGTTTAACTAGATTTTTAGAAATATTAGCAACATTTATATCTCCAAATAAATTTATTATAAAAATAGATTCAATAATCTATCTATGATACTAATTGCGTATCACAACTATTAATTCTTTTATATATATTCGGTCAAAATTGAGTACATTTGACTTTTCAAGAAGTGAGAATGACAGATAAAAATGGATGGAGGGAGTAGGACTTAGGGCCTTGTTTGGGAAGTTCCTCCCAAGGCCTCATCTGGAGGAAAACGATTGCGGCTCCTTTTTTCATTGAAAAGCATCTCCAAACGGCTCCTCCTATTAAACCGTTTGGTAGGACTCCTTCGAAGGAGCTGAAAAGGAGCTATACCAAACGGAGCCTTAGCCTTCAACTCCCCTGCTAGTTTATTTTCTAAACTTCCCCTCACTTGCAGCAGCTGCTGCTACACATGTCCATTATGATCCCTCTGCTCCCTTCATTATGCATATTTTATACTGTCATAGTTCGACATCTTGGCTCAGATTTAGAGTAGAAGGGAACTACGGAAGAGAAAGTTCGGCAATGGCAGGGGCAGGCGACAGGTAAATCAGGCCAAGCACCAAGGCATTCCAAACGGACAGACTTATCTTCCTTCATCTTCGACTTCTGGTAGCATCACTGCAACAACCCATATTGTATCGCCTCTCTCAAGTTTCCGCTCCTATGGGAGGTGAAGAAGACGCACATGATTAGACGTGGTGCAGAGCAAAGGGCTGCCTTGGTCACCCTTCGGAGATGCCAGCATCACACATCAGAAAAAGCAGGTTATGTTCGGTCGGAGGAGGTGAAGAACGTTGATGATCTCTTGTTACCCTTGGTGTATGAGATCACAAGGAGGGTGAATGGGTGATCATGAGGAAGTTTGGAGCAGCACAATTGGTCCAACATCATCAGGAGAATTATCCATCGGGTAATAATTCTCTAAAAGACATGCTACAGAATTTGCAGTCCATAGAAAGACATGTGACGGAGTTCGTATGGACAACAACGTCAGGTCATCATCGATTGTTAGTCCTTCTCACTGATCGGTGCTGCGGTCTGCGGGATTCTATTTCTTGGACAATAAAAAAGAAAAAGGAAAAAGGTTCATTCCTGCCAAAACTATTCTAGTATTAAGAAATTTCCTCATTGCCAGAACAGGAGCAGTGCAGGGCCAACCCCACCACCGGCCCATATGGCATGCATGCATCTGAACAAAGGAGCCGACGAGATGGGCTTCTAGTTGGGCTGTGGCTTGTGGAGTGGAGGCTGCTGGGCTGGATCTAAAGACCTCTTCCTAGATTTTCTGGCCCACGGGGGCGTCACGTATACCCCATGCACTGTACCCCTTGTGTTTGGCACCGTGCTCGGGATCCTTTTAGCAAATGCTTCTCCCAAGAATCTAAATGTGAAAATCTTTTAAAAAAAGAGCCAAAAAGCTGCCATCCTTTCCCTGGTACAACAAAACAAAGCAGCAGTGTTTAGTTCAGGTCAACGGGATTATTGTTGCGTGCACCCCATGAGGCCGTGACGCAGAATCGAACGAAGAGCCGATGAACAGTGAGTCAGTGATGCGTTTTGCCTGTGTTGCCTGTCAATGGTATATGGCGCATGGCCTAGTGTGAATCATGACTCCAAATGGATAAGCTCGGCCTGTGGGAGCTTATGTGGATGCACCTAACGTCCAAGTGTATGTATGACGACACGCACCTTCTTGTCCTTAACAAACCTGTTTTTCATCTTCTTAAGCCTGTCGAAGGGGTAGGTAAACACATGGTATATGTTAATGTGCGCATAAGATCGTCCCGGACAATGCAACGATATATCCACTGATGCATGACACATGGTTGATGGAATCCTGACGCTGCCAAATATTACTTCCTCCATCCCTAATAAATGTACTCCTCAATTTTTTTGAAGAGATCAATACTACTACTATAAAATCATATATATCCTCTATTAAAAGTTGTACCAGCATATAATGATTGAAATTTTGAAATGCAATTTTGAAAATAGAGAAACTAGTAGATCGGTCTATTAGTGTTATGTGGTCCATGAATTAAAATTACACGGCCCTATTAGCTTACCTAAAAAGACAATATTCAAATTGTTTTTTTTCAAATTAAAACAATATTTTTTCTGGTCCATGAAAATGTGTTTTTTAAAATTGAACGGGGCCTTAATTTGAACGTCCGATTGCTCAATTGACAAACTGAGTACAAAATTGCGTTGGAATTTTTTGGTTTACTACTTCCGAAGTAAATCGTATAGATATTTTTTCCGTTACCCTTTCACACCTTTCATATGGATTTTAAGTACAATGCAACTGATTTTGTATTTTTGTCCAACGCAATTCAGGTGAGATTAGACCTAGACTAGACCCCTACGAAAAAGCGTGCATAAGCACTAGTACAAGTAGTACACACGTAGTACAGTTGTCAACTGCAGATTCCTGAACCAACACGAAACGATGCAAGTAGAACTGACGATACCTGGAACGACTAACGAGAGACGAAAAGCTGGGAACTGGACGTCTCAGTCCCACCTCCCGCGCGCGCACGGCGTCGCCATCGGCCACCTACCCTCCGCCGCATCCGACGTGCTTCGGACGGGGCCGCGCGGTGCGGTGGTAGTTGCATCCACTGCCACCGGAGAGAGCGGCACATCCCGGCAAAGAGACTCAACTAACCTACCCCGCGACGGCCGGGCCCCCTTCGATGACCGGAACGCCCTTCTCGGCACCTCAACGGCCCTCGCCTGCCTTGTGTCCCGTGGAGGGTGGTTTCGTCCGATCACCGATTCCGAGTGGATTAAGCGCCATGTTTTTTGTTTAAATGCAGAGGAAATAAAAGAAAAGAAAGAGTTGAGTGTCTCAAGAGGAGATTGACTCCTGACTCTTGAGTGTAGTTTGGGCCGAAAGCGTGTCTTGTCTGGTCAATCGCTCCGAGTTTTTTCGTCCTTGGAACAGGCGGGGCAAACTGCTAATCCAATTCTGTTGGCGCCCTGGTCGCAGGTCACTGGATTATTCTATGCCACGATTGGCATTGCATGCGATATACAAGTGAACTTTCGTGTTTAGTCAGCTCCAAGATTCATAGTATATATACATTATATGTACTCCGTACTTAAGGTTTTTTTTGCGCCGCTTATACAATCTTTCACTTGCCTTTGTCTCACTTTCTCTAGAATATCTAGTCTAGAAAAAATTGCTCTACCCTTTATTTAATGATAGTTAGAGAATATTAAATAAGAAAGAAAAAAATACTTACTACTAATTACAGATTAGAAACTAATTAAAACCAAACTTAAGGTTTTCTGATCTTGAAATTACTGGAAAGGAAACGTGGCATACCGGGCCCCGCAACAAAACCAAACCACCCACTTCGGAAACCAAACTTACGACCGCGTCGTGTATAAAAGCCCACAAGCCACCAAACCCCGCCTCCTGAATTCCCTCGTCTCCGCACGGAGGCCGGTCCTCTGCGTCCGCATCGCCGCCGCCGCCGCTCACCGGCCACCCGCGCGCGCGCGCGCGCTCCATTACCCCGGGTCCCCGGCGGCCGATGGCCAGCCTATACAACGCCGACTCCACCAATCAGGCCTAACACGAGCAGCCACAGCCCCCGGCCGCCTGATCTCCTCGTCGGGCAGGAGTCGGGTCGACAGGAGATGGAGGCCAGAGTGGGCGTCCGTGCGCCGCCGCGTGGCCGTGCCTGGGCCGGCCTCGAAAAGCCGCACGGCGCTTACTGCGTCAGAGTCCTGCCCGTGAGCCTCACGGCGGAGAGACTGCCGCCGCGGAGGCTGGTGCTGGGCGCCGATCCGTGGAGGACCGCGGATCCTGCCCTCCGTCCCGCAAAGCTGAGAGCTTCGTGCTCCGCGAAATCGGCAGGTGAGCAGTCCGATTACCTCTTTTGGTACGTGTTCATTCATGCAGTTGTTATTATTTGGCCCCGTTTGGCAGAGCTTTACTTCACTAGTGAAGTTTTTTTTTTTTTTCTTCAGCTCCACGAATAGCTCCACCAATAGAGCTGAAGCGGTTTTGGTAAATCATTTGGCAAAATGGCTTCCCTATGAGAGCATGTTTTTAGGGGTCTGGAGGAGCCAGGAGAAGCCACTATTTTTAGCTCATTTCCACCCCAAAGCTCTGTGAGAGCACGTTTTTAGGGGCTTCATCGGTGGAGTCGTTTTATTTTAACCCGTTTGGCAGAAAACGGCTCCAAGCGGCTCTGAAGCCGCTAGAGAAACCCTACCGAACAAAGCCTTAGTAGTAACAAAGTAATTAAACAAGTAGCAAATTGGATAACCGTATAAACCCAGGGCAGGAAATTGGTTAGTTATGAGTACAACATGATTTGGTGTGAGTGAACATCGTCTCACACCTCAACGTTTTTGTTTGTTGTGTCGAATTTGGCGGATGAGATGTGTATCCGCAACGTACCAACAGCTGCTGGTCCGCCACGAGTGGCGTGACAGTGACACGATTCACGCACGTGACACGTGACAGCCAACGGAGGGCAATCAAGGGACAGCAGGGGGCGAAACGTGACTGTTCCCATACGGCATATACGGCCCGGTTGCTACCGGGTGCGGCTTCGCATTGGGTATGGCCCATGGGCCACTGTCGTTCCACTGTCAATCATCATGTACAGCGGTACAAGAATCCAATGAAATGGACACGAACCTAATACTAATGGCGACTTTTGCTAAAAAAAACTAATGGCGACTAAACCTACTTTACATTTTGTACAATTAATTTCAGAGCAATGTCAGCGCTTGTTCTTGTCCATGTCTGGGCTCTTTTTCGTGAGAGAAAAAGAAAAGTCCGCTGTTCTTTGTTCTTTTACAAGGTGAGGGTAGGGAGACCTTCAGTAACCACTCTTTAGGTCGTGTTATGTGTTATTATTTTGCGATTACTAGTTAGCAAATATATAAAAACATTATTAACGCCGGTGTCCAGTTTAGATAACATCACTTTGAAGTTAGTTTGCATGCTAGGAGGAAATAGAGGACTAACTGTTTCATCTGGATATATTTTCATTCAAGTCACAATTTAGTGCTATCAGACGGTTGAGATATGATACGCATGCTGCAGGAACAGGAAAGGTCCACTACTCTGCTGACGAGGCTCTCGTACTACAGGTTAGGAAAATATGTTTTTTCTCTCTCCTAGAAATAGAAAATGATGTAATGATGATATACTTGTATGGAGAAAATATATCAACCAGCTATGGTTATTTATTTATTTATATTACTAATATATGACGGACATGTTAACGCCAGCAAAAAGCCCAGGATGTTCTCCCTTACTTGGATGGCCGATGCGTTTATCTTGTTGGTTAGTTCTTGGCTTCTAGCTCCACCTCACTAGTTCACCTCAAACCCTAGCTTCATCCCATCATCGTAATATACGTGTATGATATTTGTGTACTTTGGTATGCAGGAATGATGGGTTCAGGCAAAACTACAGTTGGGAAGATATTAGCCGAAGTATTAGGTTATTCATTCTTCGACAGGTTTGTATTTCTCTCTGATAATGAACTTTACCCACCACCAAAATCTTCCATAAGTAACCTTTGTTTTTTTGGCTTATGGTTTACAAATGTTACTGGCCAATTCCAATTGCAGTGATAAGTTGGTAGAGAAGGCTGTTGGTATATCATCTGTTGCTGAGATCTTTCAGCTCCATAGCGAAGCATTCTTCAGAGATAATGAGGTAATATGTCTATTTCTCTAGAGATGATGAGATTTATTTATTTATTTCCTTATTGAAGGTTGAAAGTGTGGGAAAAGACTCCCAAGTCCGCAAGCCATTCATTTTTCTTTCTAAGGAGATCGAATTGGCAATTCCCCACCTCGGGTTTAAATGCTGTGATCAGAGGCTGACGGCATTAAGTTCCTATTGAAGTCCCTCTGTACCTGATAACCAACTTTTCTGATATCCTCTTGTTTCATTCGACTTGTCAAGAGTGAGGTCCTGAGGGATCTGTCATCAATGCATCGGTTGGTTGTTGCAACCGGAGGTGGTGCAGTGATCCGACCAATCAATTGGTACTGGAAGTGATAAACTACCCTGACGTTTCTCTTCAGAACCAATTCTCACCGTAGTTTACTGTGGGTTTGTAGGAGTTACATGAAGAAAGGGCTGACTGTGTGGTTAGATGTTCCACTGGATGCACTTGCAAGAAGAATTGCTGCTGTAGGAACAGCATCTCGACCACTCTTGCATCAGGAATCTGGTGACCCTTATGCAAAGGTGCCACTAATACTTTTGTAACAACCATATGAGAATTGATCTCTTGAGCTCCAGGTAATATATACTATTTTTTGTAAACCTAAGGACCTCTTATTTTCTAATGCAGGCTTATGCGAAACTTACATCACTTTTTGAGCAAAGAATGGACTCGTATGCTAATGCTGATGCCAGAGTTTCACTTGAACGTAGGTTTCCAATGATTTTTTAGTAACATCTGCTATGTATAATAATCCTGTTTTTCCCCCCCTTCTAATGCTGTATACTACTAACAAACTCGCTAAGCCCAATGCTGCAAATTCAATTGATTGACCAAATTCTTTATGATGCAGATATTGCATTAAAACAAGGCCATAATGATGTCACTATACTTACACCTAGTGCCATCGCCATTGAGGTATCCTGAAATTCTATTTTCTTCCTGTTCTGTCTTAGCAGAATTGGTCTTCACAACTATATCTAACTGAGAAATTTTCACCTCAACCCTTTCAGGCATTGCTAAAGATGGAAAGTTTTCTTACCGAGAAGACCATGGTCAGAAACTGATTGCTTGTATGTGAGCGCAAGGATGCTCACAACATATGGCCCTTGTTTGTTTAATTGTACATATACCTTTGCATAAACTCTTTCTGCAGTGTTGTTCAGCATGAAAGAGGACCGTTTGAGTTTGTACTTGTGCAAATGAATAAGTAAATAGCTTTCAGTTCAAACAATGATAATTTGTTATTTATCTCAATGAATGGTTGATGGGGACATTAGGGCATAGCATGGTATTGTCATTTCAATTTTCACTATGTCAGATTGTGAAACAAGCAAATGACATGAATCCATGCTTTTGAGGCAAAATGCATTACAGCATTATTTTTATGTTCACATAGATTTAACTCAAAGTTTGTCAGTTACACCATATGTGCATAACATGGGCCGTTTACAATGCCTGAGTTTGAAAAATATGTACATAGCAGTGTTTCAAAAGCATTCCGTAAAGAACAAAAAAAAAAGGATTGATCTTGGGTTCTAGATTAGATGCTACCATATGGAGTGGAGAGAGAAAAAATCCTCCTCATCTTCTAGTAGTGCACCAAAAAGAATAGTTAAAGAAAATTAAGGAAGCAGGGACGGAAAATTTCTGTACCTTTGGCTTTACATGAACAGTCTTCTAATGGTTCTCGCGACAGCCCGAGATAAAATACGATTGGTTAAATCCGCTGGCAGAAGAAGCAACTGCTGTTGGGACTCCGGTGGAAGCTTCGATGGAGAAGGGTATACACAAGTGAGCCATGTGTCATGTGGATTTTGACATATAGTTTCACTTAACTTATGTCCAACTTACCTCAGGAATGACAGAAAGAACTGGAAGAAATTCTGGCAGAGAGGTCATTTCATACAGCGCAAGAGAAAGTTCATCCGTGCTACCACCTTCCTTCTCTATGGCACTGTTATATCCAGGACTCTGCAAAAATAATACCGAATGAACAAAAGGAACAAAGGCTCAAAGCAAAAGGTTGTGAATCTTGCAATATACTCCATCCGTTCCAAATTATAAGTCACATTGACTTTTTTGGTACACATTCATTTTGCTATGTATCTAGACATATAATATCTTTTTAAATCATTTAACTAATATCAGAGGAGACATGTAACATAGTACACAACATAATGTATGTTATGCTTTTGATCAATCACATATCCATATCTAACCTAAGTTTTCTTTTCCCTTCCACACAAATGAATAAACAAAGCTGAAATCTGAGATATATGGAAAATTGTACTTACCGGAGATGGATTTTCCTTCTGAGAAACCTTAGATAAAAGTAGGAGCAGGCGATACAGATTTCTTAAGTTGGTGGCATCCTCATCGTCTAGTGAGGTCAATGGGGATGGGCCACCAGCGAATGGCAATCTGGAGGCTGCTGCAGACGTTGCAGAGCTTAATGTGGCTACACCAAGTGCATCTATTCCCTGCAAAAACTAAATTCTTGAGAATGCATAGCCAGAAAGTATTCTTATCAAAACAGGTATGCAGATTCATTTTAATCAAACATGAACGGAAGAAGAAGATTCCAGATCTTCTAAAGGTGAATCAAAGTTTATTGAAAACCGAAGGAAGATGAACTAGAAGGAATATTTGTTACGGATTTAAGGCATTCCCATGAATGAAGTTACTGGTTTAAAAAATAAACTGTATACTATTTGATACCTCCCTTGTTAGCATTCATGCCATAGAATGTTCAAAAGTGGAACCTAAGCTGTTAAAATGACATATTGCTTTTGCGATAAAAGTGAAACAGAAACTCACAAATGAATTACTCCCTCCGTTCCAAATTATAAGTCGCTTTGACTTTTTTGGTACATGCATTTTGCTATGCATCTAGATATAATATTATGTCTAGATACATAGCAAAATGGATGAACCAAAAATGTCAAAGCGACTTATAATTTGGAACGGAGGGAGTAACATTTTGCAACCAGTTCTGCTGAAATGCTTTCAGTAGGTTTTAATAGTTAGAACATATAATCTTAATATGCTCAGGATTTTCCAAATATTATGATGATCAAACTAACTCAATATGCAATTATGCCTTTAACAAGCTAGTACCTTAGCAATCTCCTGAAGAAGTAAATCCTTCACAAAGGCACCCTGCAAGAGAGCATAGAGGTTCAAATATTTATCTGCCAAGTTCTATCTTGTTTGGTTAAGGTGAAGAGTTCAGTATCGAAGAATTATTTGCCCGGTTTGGTCCAACCTGGTCAGTGAGTGTGAATGACAAGACTTGCTTAATTGCATATCTCGTACTGTTGACATCTTCTTGTTGATTTCTGACCAATGATTGCTCTGTTCTGGCACGAAGTGACTGTAAAAGGAACCATGCAATAGGAATGTGCTCAGAAATAGATAGCACAGGAGGCTACCAAGTGAAGATACATTCATAGTAAACATGTAAATCATCATTGATTAGAGCTGCCGCTTTAGCCATTTTGTTTAATGACAAAAGTACAAAACCCAAATGAAAATGTGAATCATCATTACAGATTGGCTGGAATAGGCCACCCTCTTCCTCATGTTAAGAAGGAAAATTTACAAGTTTCAAACATTAAATCTTTATTCACGTCACATATATCATATATGGCATAACTCAAAACAACTATATTGGATGGGATAGGTAGCATCTATATAAGACATAGAACGAAAGAAACCAACCTCAGTTAACAAAGATTCCAGGCGATCAATTTGGAAAGTGCCATCCTGTAACATAATAGTTGAAGAAAAAAGATGATAGTCAAAACAGAATTTGCAGTAGAAAAAGCTTGGGCATAATACAGGCAGGAAAATTGAAAAATATTTCAAAGTAAACAATCATTAGTTATCATTATTGATCTTGTAAACTTGTTAACTTGATTGACACCTTAGCAGTTAGTATGATTTAAAATCGTCAAAGAATACAAATGCTGAAAAATATCAACCTTATAAAGAAGAGTCTGCAAAGTTGATCGAAGCTTTGGTGAACTGTCAGTGAGAACTTTTCTTGCAATCCATGGATATGAACTGCCCAAAACTTTATAGTTTGGATTGAAGCTGATTGCGATACCTTCTAAAACAGCAAGGCTGAAAAATCACATGGTAAGCCTCTTATCCGATGAACCAAAGAACATACATATCAGACATATTCTAGAGCATCTGCCTGTTTGCAAGCTCTATTAGTGAAGCACTTTGCTCAAATTTTGCAGAAAAACTCGTTACCTTCGAATTACAAGAGAAAAGTAAGAAGGTATCTGGAACTTGAATTTATACCTGAAACAACGCTAACTCTAGTTAATAGGACAAACTTACAGTACGTCTATTGAAGAAATGGTTATCTGTAAACTAGAATAGTACATTGTTCGTCCAAGATTTCCTGACAGATCTCCAAAGCTTATATTCTGAACTCCTCTGTTAACAGCATTCTCAAATACACCTGGGACAAAAATAAGAAAGTAGGATACCGAGTGATATGCCAATTGGACAAGTATTATGGCAAGACTCCTGACCTACAAATTTGAAATTAGTACAACAGTATCTAGATCAACTAATTCTAAGTTATGTTTAAACATATCCAACATTCATCCAGAACTGGAATACCTGTCAATGCCTTTGTGACTTCACCTTTCTGGGCAGTTGGAGGAAGTAAACTGCAAGATTTGTAAAGAGTTGCATTTACTGGATCATTAGTATAAACGAATTCCACTTCAGAAACCTAACTTATCACATAATGATACTGATACTGACAACCAACCTAATGTGTGAAAACTGATTCATATTAGTTCAGAGTAATTTTCTTACCCAAGGGTTACAAAATCTTTTGCTAAAGCATCAAAATCACGGTTAACAAGATGAAGACAAGCTTCAATAAATCCATCACGAAGGTCTTGTCGGAATTCTCCCATCATCCCAAAATCTATTGACAAATAGTGTGTCACATTTAGTTGAAATAGTGTGAGCTTCGTTGGTTGTAAAGTTTCTTTTTTCTTTTTTCTTTTTTTCTTGAACACGCAGGAGAGCTGCGTATCATTTATATCAAGTAGAAGAATAAGGAGTCTAAGTGACTCAAACAACCCCTTAGAAGGGCATGGCCATTATAGCAGAAAAACACTGAAAACAAACTAAGTAATAACCAAAGACCAACAAAGCAAAAGCAGTCATGGCCATAAGCTACAGAGCCCCTTGGCTGCCGCCACACACCACAACTTGGCCTCATCTCTAATATCCTGCATGATAGGATTAAAACTGGGCTGAGATCCCTAAAAAATGCAACCATTTCTATGCTTCCAAATCCACCATGCCACCAGGACGACCAATGAGTTGAAACCCTTGTGATGATGTTTTCGAACATGCTGCAAAGCTAGGCGCCACCAATCCATTAAAGTGCATTCTTTTGTTGTTCCTGCGGATAAGTGTTGCAGCCTAACTAGAGATAAGACCGAAAACCATACACTTCTTGTGAATACACAAGATGTGAGCAAGTGCTGAATATTTTCCTCCTCTTGGTCACACAAAGGGCAGCAGCACTCAAGATGATCAAGACAGTAAACTGGGAACCCAAAAGTCTATAAACATGCATTCTTTAGTGAAGATATAGAAAATATAACCATTACCTAAGTAGGCTAATTTCCCATCAACTGTACGCAAAAGATTTCCGGGGTGTGGATCTGCATGATAAAATCCATATTCTAATAGCTGGGAAAGCGAACAATATACTCCGACCTGTAATGTAAAATATGCCAGCATAATCAATCTGATCTGATCAATGTGCTTAGAAAGCCCAGTTTTATGTCATTATTTGAGCTTTGACAGTCCTTTACCTCAACCAAATACTGATCTCTGACTTCTGACAACTTTTCCCCCTACAAGATCACAAAAGCGCAAGTAGAATTACAAACTGCAATTTTTGCATGCATGTTCATTTGTTAACAGTTGAATAAGATCACAGACTGTGCACCTCGATCCATTCCATGATAAGGACTCGCCTTCTAGTCTGCTCCAGATACATTTCAGGAACCGAGACATCTCTAAATTTCCCAAACAATTCTCTGCCATAGAATCAAAAGATTTTTGAGGAACCCATATGATGAGATAGTCTCAAATAGGCAACTTGGATATCAATTTGTATATTAATATGTAATATAAATAATAGATACTTTACTGAAAAAGTACAAATATTTTATAGTAGCAAAGTAATTCTCAAATAAATCTGATGGCCCCAAGCTAAATAATTTTGCCTATATTTGTCGTGACAGTGAAGGATGTTTGACCATTCAGGCTCTAAAACAACATATATTTCTCAATGAAGGTGTGTATCCGTCATAGACAAATGCGTTGAACTGGACCTTGTCTAATGGACGAAGAATTCAACCTGAACTTAAGTCCATTTCTTGCTTCTTCTCTATAATCCATCTCCTGCATCAAATGTGATTTACCTGTATTCAATGTGAATATCTAAGGATATACAGATAATATTTTAATCAGACGTCTGACATAGCCTAGAATACTGTTGCACAGTCTTGCCAGAATAGTATCAACTTTTCTTCGTCAGGCTTTCGAAAAGAAACTTATCATAAAAGCTATGAGCTCTCACAGTAAAAGTACAAATGCAATGGTTTCAAACCACTCACATTGAAAAAGATCGATATTTATATTCAACAACAACAACAACATAGCCTTTCAGCCCCAAGCAAGTTGGGGTAGGCTAGAGTTGAAACCCACCAAGAGCCCTAAGTCACGGTTCAGGCAGTTCAATAG